CGCGAGTTCGAATCCCCGTCATACCAAACATGAGCATGTTCAGCCATGGGGGCGTTATAATGTGACGGTCAATCCCACTATTCGTTGGTAAAAGGGTTGGCGATGGGTAGTGATGACTAGCTGCCTTCCCTCTAGTCTTACACTGCTAAATTAGGGATGGCTAGCGCAGATAGTCGTTGTGTAGCTTTGCGCGAAAAATATCTTAAAAGATGGAAAAACAACAACAACAATGGATACAATATTGATATAGGTTTTTGATATAAGTAACTGGAATATTATGCAAAATTTATTAAAAATAAGTGAAATGATGCAAAATATATACACGTAATATTCAGATTTGAAGAAACGTATAAATATTGTTGAGATGTTAGTTCTAATATGTAATGTTGATATAAAAGAATTGGTATTAATGTAACATTACTGAAAAGTCGTGTACGTTTAAGATCTCACAAGCGTAATGAAAAGTTTCTGTGAAGAGATCTTTGGATAGCTGATTGGGTCATAGATCGTACATATGTTTTCTTATCGTGGGCTTAGAATTTCCAAGATGGGGATATTCTTTGTATTTAATAACAGTAGAATAATAAAAAAAAAAAGGAATACCAATCAACTTAGGAAACCAAGACCTGCAAGAAGTCGTGCCCTAGCGGTGGTAGGCAAAGTGTGGCGTCTTCTAACACGTGAGAATCCAAGAACACAAAGTATGTGGGAAAAGCTGTCTACGTGTCCCAGGCAACATAACTAAGCAAGACCTTCATGCGGAAAAACGATATAAGTCACATCTACACAAGTTCTTCCCACAATATACTCGTTCAACCTTCACATACATCTATTATATAGAAAATGGAATGTATATACGCTTATTCGTCAGATGCGCTGCTATTGAACTGTTGAAATGGACGCTGAGAAACCATCAACTTCGTACACGAAGTGGATTATGGAAAAATTAGGAAAGAGTGGTATACTTTGGACGTGACAACTTTACGATAGAGCCTTTTCCTGTGGAAACTACGCTGCAGGGCTATTGTCATAATGCACAGTTGTCAAATAGAACATGTAGGAATGTGGTATTTTCAGTTCAAATGATTTCCACGCCAGTATCAGATAGGTCTACTTAATAACAGCAGGAAATGTTTGAGTAATCTGAATTCGAAAACTTGAGTGGGCTTTAAGCTGCGTAAAAAATAAACAGACTGAACACGCCCGAAGAAAAGTGAAAACAATATTTATGATACAAAAAAAGTGTGAATACTTGCCTAAACGAATGGAGAACCTATACCGGATCGGAGAATAGATTTGCAGATTTCTTTCTCTCAAGATAGATCTCTGTGGAACTAGTCATAATGAAACCAACATGAAAGCTTAGTTCCTTTGTGTCACAATGTGACTGGTTCTTAACCCCATTAATAATCGGCTGTGACATACACACAAATAGCAAAGAACGTTGCAGTCGTTGACCTTTCAAACGCGGATATACCGCAACGTCTCAGAGGAGTAGAATAGATTTTACCTGCTATAGAGAACAAAGATGTAAAGGCAACACCACCTTCCCCTCTCCTCCAAAAACAAAAAAGCTTGCTAATGTGCTTGAAAAGTGCCCTTTTTTTAAATCAATGAGCCGCTGTCCTTGTAAATTTGTTTGCATGTTACTGATTTATATGGAATGATAGTTGAGAAGGTAACAAAAGGATTGCGGATACTATACCAAGACCCGAGTCCGACTTGAACATATGATGTTTTATTATTATTTCTTTGGCCCTTATCCTGTGCTGACGTTTTTGGAAACCTTCTCTTTAGCCTCAGCAGCCAGTTCTGAGTTCTAATAAATAAAGAAACTAGCCAATAAGTATACAAAAGCCAGCCAACCTATTGAAAAGCTCTTACCATTTGTGTGTATGAAAAATATATATATTCATTTCAACATTTCTATTTTTTTCTTTTTCATTGTTATCAATGTTTAGAAGATTAATATGAATAACATTTCTGGAAATTGTGTTTTTCGGGTACTTCCATGAGTGTGCCTGAATACTATTTCTACTCTCTCAATATTTATTTCAAGTATTATTTCTAGTGTGAGATTTGCGAATACAGATTAAACATGTTACAGCATCTCCACCTTAACGTGGGTCTTCCGTCTGCAGGTACTTTTTCTACTCGGTACATTTTATCTTTCCTAACTTTTGTACGACTGTAACCTAGTTTTATTTGTCTACTCTTTACACAATACGATTGAAGTTTGTTTTTGTTTGCTTATTATTAAGCACAGAGCTGCACAATGGGCTATATGTGGTTTTCCCACCACTGGTATCGAAACCCAGTTTATTGCATTATAAAACTTTCTGATTTACCGCTGAGCCACTACAAGCGACGAACGTCATTGCACAAATAACACTAATTGTATTTATTGTCAACAGATGGCGGCACAAGGCACATGTAGTAAAACTAAATACAATTACATGATAGTTGGACAGGATATAAATATCAAACTATTTATAAGTAATAAGTTAAACCTCACTGTTTATTATGATAGCCATAGTTTACTCCTTTGTATGAAATTGGAGTTAGTGTTTTGTATTATATGTTTTATATTATCAGTAATGTAATGGTAAAATGTTTTGTGCCAACAAAATTTAAAAAAATTACCTGCCCTTGGATTATACGTGCACATGTAGGCTCTATTTCAGGCATTTAATTTGTCTGTAATTACCACCTACTTATCAATTAACTTTGTATAACCAACGGGTATATCTGAATCATAAAAATACAATTGATGTGTTATCTGTAGTTTATATATATATATAATGTAGAGGTATATTATACAATTATTTTAATATTTAATTCTATATAACATTATGGATATAATTTAAGTTTATTTACAATTACAAGTACTTATTTTACTTACACAAAAAGTAGATGAACGCGACACCTACTACAATCTTATGTGCAATGTTTAAATAATTATTTTATTGTTGATGTCAATGCGTCGTTCTGAAAATAGGATACGTGATTTTTTGTTGTTTCTTTTTATTCGATTTTTTTACTGATAATAAATCTTAAGACAAAGTGGTTAATTGCAAGCTTCGATGTACTTTATGGTTGGAACTTGTAGTATAGTACTATTATCGTTATAACTTGCAGCTCTGAAACTAGTCTAAAATAGCAAACACATACTGCTTGCCTACGAGGGCAGACAAAAAAATGTGGGGTGGGTTATTGTTTTACTTGCCGCCATTTTTGGCTGATACATGTGCGGAAAAAAAAGCCTTTGTAGCTTAGGTCACTTCAGAATATTTTCTTTTTATTTAAAGCTTTAAAAAATGTGTACGTTTTTTCTTTAATTGCATCAGCTTTAAAATATATTGTAAGGATATATATATACACACACACAATTGTGCTTCCTGGTATGACATTAATTTATAACTTCGACCTTCCCTAAATAAATTAAAGGTATTTTTATTACTTTGTAAATGGTGTGTGGCGTTATAATTTTATGGTCAATCCCATTATTTGTTGGTAAAGATAGCTCAAGAGTTGGCGGTGGGTGGTATTCACTAGTTGCCTTCCCTCAAATCTGTCACTTCAAAATTAGGGACAGCTAGCGCAGATAGCCCTCGAGTATCTTCCTGCGAAATTCACAAGCTAATAAACAAAGCCTTATATATATATATACTGTTGTGAAAATGTGGATAATTGAAGCCACATATATATATATATATATATATTTACAAGATTTGGAATTATAATTTTCTTCTTCAAGATCTCTAGTCTTCTGTGTGAAAATTAATGTCTAAAGGCAGCTCGAAGTAGAGGACACAAATCAATGTTTGTGTGTGAAAGTTAATGTCTACAGGCAGCTCCATGTAAAGAACAGAAATTTCGATTTCTGTGTGAAAGTTAATGTCTACAGGCAGCTCCGAGTAAAAGACATTTTTTATAGTTATTTACGGTTGTGTACATGTCTTCAGACAGACACAGTCGATGGAGTTGGATGTTGCATATTTTTTGTCCTGAATCATTTGTTAGTTACTAGATGAGTCATGCTTGGACTAAAATTGCGCATTTACAGAGGGGTGCCATATTTCTGTCACGTCAGTAATGTATGCTCTCTCAGTGCTATAAAGTTTGAGTTAGGTTTGTTTTTTGTTTTTTAACTTGAAATTTTCTGCAACCAAAGGTTGAAAATAAAATGAAGTTTGTGGAATCAGTGGTGATTTGACACGATTATTGTTCAGATTTGAAAAAAAGGCTTAAGTTCTGAAAGTGATAGTTTAATAGCGTCGTTTTTACGAGACACAAATTGGTACAGAAATAGTGATCACATTTCACCATGGATGCGGTATAAGAGTAACGGTAAAATCCTACTATTCGAGTACAGTAGCCCAAGAGGTGGCGGTGGGTGGTGTTCACTAGTTGCTTTCTCTGTGGTGCATTATTTCAAAATTAGGAACGGCTAGCGCAGAAAGTCCTAAAGTAACTTGCGCGAAATTCAACAAACAACAACAACCCTCTAACCGTTACTAAATCAATTAAATTTCTACGCCTAACTTTCGGTACTTAACTTAACTGGCACACCTACATCTCAGTCATAAGCACAATTTTTCTGTACATTAACCTAATTACAGCTATCGACTATAAAACAAATGCTTCACTACCCATGCTCGCCTAAAAAAGTACATAGCTTTCATTAGAATATTCTTCGAATAAAGCTACATAATCACTCTGTCGTTGTCTAACCAATAAGTCTGTCCAATAAACATATTTAAATACTGCATTCTACATCTTGTTACTCGACTCCCTATTTACACAAAAATCTCTAACTTATCTCTTCTCAGTAAATTGCTTTAATGTTTTAAAACGGCAACACAGAAACATCCCGACCCAAATTTTTGAAAAACTTAGTCCCATGGGTGGAACGAGTTCAAATATTTCTTCGGCCAATTTTCTCTCCCTTTCCTACGCCTCTTATTTCCTCAAATCCGTTACTTTATATTCTCCTCTTGTTTCATAATTTTATATGCATAAATGTGCTTTTATTTAATATCGTCTCTAATCTTCTCACTTTTATTTAATTCTCTTTTCCCTCTCCATACGCCCCCCAGTGGCACAGCGGCATGTCTGCGGATTTACAACGCTAGGAACCGGGTTTCGATACCCGTGGCCGGTAGAGCACAGATAGCCCTTGTGTAGCTTTGTGCATAATTAAAAACAAATAAACAAGCTCTCTCCATACCTCCATTTATACACACAAGCTCACTTACCCTCTCCCAAATACGCATGTCGAAGTTGTTAAATATTACACTCTTACAATCCTACGTTTAAAACGCCTCAGATGGCCCAGCGGTAAGTTAAAAAAACGCCCGCACTCATATTTCGATTCCCGAAATGGGCACGGCATAGATAGCCCATTGTGCGGTTTGGTGCTTGAACAAACACATCCAGTTTAAAAAACAATATTTTCATAAATATAACACGTTAACATTATATTCTGAATAATAATAAAATGCACTCTCAACGTAAAATTGTTTTTCAAACATAATATTTTCACACTTCGTTTACTATATATTTACACTAGCGTAAAACAAATACATTTGTATGGAATCCAACTTAGAGAGTTGAGGCACATTATGGCTATCCTTAGTGTAACAAGATTTATTGATCTTCTCCACTGACAAAAATCCTAGCTACAGGTTACGTGATCAAAGTATTGTACGTCTTTTCCAAGTATGAATTACTACAATTTTAATTAAGAATCTTTAAATCAACAGCGAAAAGTGATTCGTATAAAAGGTATTATGTGCGAATATACATTATGAGACTATTATAATTCGTACAAAATCAGACATAGACTTATCGTTAGACATAATCTCAACTACTTGTGTGACTATTAAGTGGCTGGTACGTACTGTTTTTACAATTACGGTATTTCATGGTGTTGAATATATATGTGTGATTATTTTCTTGTCTTGAACAGTTTGGTATCATCAGATCGTATTATTTAGTTGTATATAACATGTTGATTTTTTTACAGCTATTCTTTTCTTTTCTAGATACAAAATATTTTTAAAGTTATTTTTATCAGTTTGTTAATATGATGAATGCGTATTAAATAGTTGAACTTATTTGAGTTATAGCTTTATTTCAGTATCATGAATGGTTCCTAAAAGTCGGTATGTTATGTAGCATACATAGAGTACCACAGTAAATCCAGTGATGTAACAACTTAACAAGGTATAAGATGATATAAAATGCTACAGTACAGCCAGTGATGTGACAACTTAACAAGGTATAAGATGAGATAAAATACTACAGTAAAACCAGTGATGTGACAACTTGACAAGGTATAAGATGAGATAAAATACTACAGTAAAGCCAGTGATGTGACAACTTAACAAGGTATAAGATGAGATAAAATACTACAGTAAAAACAGTGATGTGACAACTTAACAAGGTATAAGATGAGATAAAATACTACAGTAAAACCAGTGATGTGACAACTTAACAAGGTATAAGATGAGATAAAATACTACAGTAAAACCAGTGATGTGACAACTTAACAAGGTATAAGATGAGATAAAATACTACAGTAAAACCAGTGATGTGACAACTTGACAAGGTATAAGATGAGATAAAATACTACAGTAAAACCAGTGATGTGACAACTTGACAAGGTATA